AAGGCAATTAAAACTGCCTTGTGTATTAACGCAAAAATTTTTCCTCCCAGGACACGGTTCTGATAATATAAGACACTCGTCGATATCTAGAAAAAGTAATCAATTTTAACAGTATGCATTGATGTTAGATATGAAATTAATTAATCGTAATTTAAAGAACCAAAGACGCACTTTACATATGTACTACTCTGACAATCTGAAAACCTATAGGTACATATAGTCTGAAATAGAAGTACTTGATAAAATGATTCCAAAAATTAGGAATTCTATATTAAGATTACTGTGAATTAGTTTAGTTAGCATCAAGATAGTCAGAGAGTTTAAAACAATAAGTCTAGTGGAGAGGTTCAGAGAAAAAATCAGAACCTCGGTTAGTTTCAGAAATAAATAGGCTTCTGAAAGGATCGTTATAATTAACAATTAGGTTTCTCGTAGATTTGAAAAGCAAAAGGCTTATTCTGCAGTCAGTCAGTTCTAATCAGTAGGTTAATTGTTGAATAAACGAGAATAAACCAAAATTGATGCGATTGAGTGTCCTAATTCCACGAGGGACGGTCCCTCGAGAAGAAATATAGGCGACGCTGGAATATGTAGCATTCAAGGTCACACTAGCATCACTGTAACATTCGCAGCCAAATTCCTCCTCCTTTGTTCCTTTGTTATAGTGAAACTTGTAAGATCACCACAGATTGTAGAAGAAATTTTATTTTATTTTATTTTATTTTATTTTACTTTGAAATATTTTATTTTATTTTATTTAGAAAATTTATTGAATACATATACTCTTATATGTGGATACGTTTAAATATTAGTTCAATACAACTAAAGAAGCTAATTTTTATAAAACTTTACATTACTCCCTACAATTGCCAGAGATGTAACATTTCAGAGTAACATTTATTATCCAATAAATTGAATCATACATTGAAAACAGAAATTGAAGAACAAATTATAGGAATCATGGTGAAAAATTAGAGAATTTTAAGATGAACTCTATACATACCTGCACAAAGACGTAGAGCAGGTTCCCACTGGTATCCAGGAAGACAATCTTGAGAAGGGACAGTTTTTTTACTATCTTTCGTTGTGCATATATAAGATCCTATAGTATTCTCGCAATGACCAGGACATACTGCTTTCTCTATGCACTCGTTCACGTCTAAGCAGTGGGACAGACAGTGGCAACAAAAGTAACCATGGACAAAAGCAAAATGCAAAATCATAAAAACGTAACGTTCAAAAATAAAGCTGTTGTTGTTAAGCAAACATAAAATGTATTTGAGAATAAAGTTGAAATTTGTGATATAAATTTCCAGGATGTTTGAAATGACACAAGAAGAAGTAAACATAAGCAATTCAAACGCTATGAATGACTATTTCGAATTTGATTTCGAGGTGTTTAACGAAATGCACAATTCATATATGTAATTAACATGCATCGTGAATATGTATGTGCTGTTAAAATTTTTTATCAATACCTGAGGATCCTTAACCCTTTCGCTGCGCTAAATTTTAAATGCAGAATTGAAAATTTGTAAAATTGGTTTTAAAATCTTCAAAATTAAAAAATTTCAAATTTGTTTTACTGAATTAAAACTGAAATGCGCAAAGCATAAAATTAAGGTGAAAATACGAGCAAACTTTCAAAACGCCTGTAGGCGCCAACAGCGATGAAAGGATTAAGGCACTGTAGGCGAATGTATCCACCCAGCAAAAATTGTCGTATATCTGTCATTTTTATTTATTTTGACTTCTTCTTTAAAGATAGATTTACTTGGTTACTGTTTTTATTTTTAACGATGGTCAGTATATTTCTTATCTTTATCAAAGAGAGCCTGTTACTGCTAGGTGACCATCGTCTACAGTGCCCAGCACTGTGCTACTCGCAATGTAAATCGTTAATGATTATCGCTCAGAATATTCCCAACTTTCTTTCACACTCACCGTCACAAACCTGACTGGAAGCTTTATAACGGTAACCAGATGGACAAAGTGGCGACAATTCATCTTTTTCCTCTGGAACAGTGCTTTTCTTTTCCGGTGATTTGGGGATGCAAGAATGCTTGTCCTTCGCTAATGTGTAACCAGGATCGCAACTGCATGTAATTGCAACTCCATTGTCCGTGCAACGCTGCTCACATGGATTACTTGATTTGCACCTAGTTGGATAAATGGTAATTTTTAATATTTCACAATATTTAACATTGTTAATATATAAGGTTATATTTCTTTATAATGCAAAAAAAATTTGGTCCATCTTTTTTTTATAATTACTTAGAAAAAGAATTGATAAGTATATTAATATTATTCAAACATTATTGAAAAAATGTTAAAAGAAAAATTTACAAAAGCCCAGCAGGACTATTTTATGGATAATTTTTTGATGGAACTTTTGTACCTATCAGTCGGTAAATCTTGTCTACAAGTTTTTCCATCTTCTAGTAAAGTGAAACCATCACGACATTTGCAATAGTATGACCCTGGTGTAGGAACGCAAATGTCAGAACAGAGTAATCCCTTCATAAGTTGGCAAATATCATCTAGCGCTGTAAATTAATATTTGTACAATTAATATTATTATATTTTCATAATGTGACAACTAAAGAAAGTAATTACTGCACTGCTAATTCCTTTCAAATTTAGTCATAACTATATCATATAACAAAACAAATTTTATCTTCTCTTTACATTATATAAATCTTTATCCTTCACCTTCCTATCTACACAAGAAAAAAATAAATCTTTCATCACAGTGGTATAATTTTTACAAATTCAATCTTGAACAACTGTAATTATATTTCTATTTAAATTTGCAATGTGAAACTTATAGTTCCAACTATTTTCAACAATTTCGATTGAACTTCGTCTTCGTTGCTTACGAGGTGTAGGTATTGATGGGGAAGAGGATGTTGACGACGACGTTGTCTCAGTCATTGACGACGTTGTGTCGGTTTCTGTAGTATCGCTTGACGAAGATTCGTCTGTTAATTCTGTAGTCAAGATTGTCGTGGTGCTCGGTGATGCTTCATGACAACACTCCAAAAATGCGGGATCCCATGGATTTCCAAAGGTGAACGACTTGAAAGCGCATCCTTGACCCATAGATCCGGTTAAAATACCTTTAACGAAATTATTTCGTAAATAATCGGGGTAAATTAGGCGTTATTATCAATTTTGGTAAAACAAACAATTTTTTGTCTTTCTTATAAATGTACAGTGTCTAAACTATGTGTGCCAAAATTATAACGAAATTTGAAATAAGTATTAACGAAATTATGAGGGTTTGAAGAAGCGCGAAGCGCTCGCAATTCAGGCAGGTTTAGGACAGAGTAAAAAAAAATGGTAAAAGTGAACAATGTTCTCCGTAAGACACATTTGCCCAAGAATAGGGAATCTTATTTGATTCTGATGTCTCTGATTAGTGTATAAAGTGCACATATGTAAGTACAGCCATTAATGTAGGAAATGTGCAAAAGAAAAGTTTATCTGATAACCAGATTTTCCAAAATGGCTTCTATAAAATCGCATAACGCGACTACCCCTATTATTTTCGTTGTTAATGGAGCGATCAATTTCTTTTTTACAATAAATTGTCATTTCTTCCATAAATTGAGGCTTTTGAAGGGCTTTCAAGGTGATGAGATTAGATTTTTCTGCCTTTTTTCAAATAAAGTTTCAAGGTCACCTTCAACTTTTTTACGTATTAAAACATACAGTTTTTTGGCTGTCAGCTAGCAAGCATTGAAACAAATTCAACGAGCTTGACCCTTACTTCAATGACCAGAATTGTCGTCTACTTTATCGTCAAATTTTAGTAGTTGTTCTGATAAGAAAATTCGAAACTTGAGGCACACACGGATAGGAAATGTGCGAAATAACAACGATCTGGCTGGATATTTCAATCTTTTACCTGGAACATCAAATATTTTACGTGAGAATTACGCAAAAGGGTACCCGGTTATTGACGTAAGGGTTAAAAAAAAAAATATGTTTTTTCATCTAATGCAATGATTCGGCGGTAAAAACATTCAAGCGAAAAGTGATTTCGGTGTCTCCAATCTTAATCTTCAAGTTCACCTAAATTCACACTATTCGCATTCAAAATGTCGACCGCCACTTTTTTCTCTACACAAGTGTATAAAAATTCCTCTGAAAAGTAGCAAGCATTACAGTGTCCTTGAATAAAAAAAGCTACTTTAACTTGTACAATATATTAATTTTATCTTATTGAAAAAAAAGAAAAAATGAAATAGTAACTGGGGAGAAACCTTTTTCCTTCGAATTTTTCTCAATATTATTGGTGACAGATTCCTGCAAAGAAAAAGGATCGAAAAATAAATGCAACGAAGAGTAAAGAAACATACGAGTTACCTAATTTACAGGCTTCGCAACAATCACGATGATAATCGCCCGGTCCTAAACGTCGTTTGCTTTTAGTACCAGTAACGCACGCTAAACCAGCACGTGCATCCGATTTTCCTTTCTTGCATTGTTGCTCATGATACGTTCTCACGCAACAAATATCCACAGCCTCCAAACAAAGACCCTGCTCCACTGTTGGCACTCCGGACACCGGCCCTGTGAACTTTTCACATCCAATCCCTTCCAAAGCCCACGAGGTACCAAGCCCGCAGCATTTCTCGAACTGTGCTTCCATTCTAGCTTCGCTTAGCAACACTCCTGTTCAACAAGTATACTTCTCTTTATCAACATTTTCGATAATGCATCTTTCAATAGTTGTATTTACTTCTCTTTCGCGTCTCTAACGAATGTATAATTATTTTGGCTCGTTTCTCTTTCGACTACGTTATCCATAATATCGAATTAATCGATAACAATTTTATATACTGTATGAAATAATGAATTAAATAAATCCCTAAATCGACTGTAGTAACATATTCGATTGTTCGATAAATTTTCTATCGATCGATATTTTTACGATTGTATAAGTTAATTTCAATTATCAATATGTATTTTCAATGACGTATATTTACAATTACAAATCCCTGAATCGATTGTACTAATATATTCGATTGTTCGATAAATTTTCTATCGATCGATATTTTTACGATCGTAATTTAATTGAAATTATCAATATTTATTTTCAATAACGTATATTTACAATCATAAATCCCTAAATCGATTGTAGTAACATATTCGATTGCTCGATAAACTTTCTATCGATCGATATTTTTACGATCGTAATTCAACATCAATTGCCAATATTTATTTTCAATAACGTATATTTACAATCATAAATCCTTAAATCGATTGTAGTAACATATTCGATTGTTCGATAAACTTTCTATCGATCGATATTTTTACAATCGTAATTCAACATCAATTGCCAATATTTATTTTCAATAACGTATATTTACAATCATAAATCCTTAAATCGATTGTAGTAACATATTCGATTGCTCGATAAACTTTCTATCGATCGATATTTCTACGATCGTAATTTCATTTCAACTGTCATTATTTATTTTCAATAACGTATACTTGTAACCATAAATCCCCTGAAATTTTGAGCTCTTCGATAAAAATACACGGTTTTTCTATTCAAAAGCTCGCGTTTAAGTGAAATTGCCTCTTTGGCATTTTCAGCATCCTTATCGCATTCGTTGTTTCCGAATTACGATAATACACAATTTTCAAGAAATCTCTTTATGCGCGTGGAAAATTACTATTTCTAATGCTAAATCTGAGACGTAAAGTTATCTCTTATTTGCATGTCATTTTCACAAATACTTGGCAGAATTTAAGTCCCTTGTGAAATCCTTCCTGTCTCTCTACCGAGTACAGAGATAAGAAGAACCGCTACAGATAGATGTTTTTATAGCGATCGTTATTACTTTCGCTTTTGTTTGCGGTTTATTTACATTCGCGTGTAACAAATTTTCCAAATTTATTTCTCTCCTGTAATATTCATTCAGCTATCGTTTCGCCTAAGTGAATACGTGTACGTTCCATTTAAAACCAGTTAGTTTATTCTGCAAGATAATTTCAGCTACACGTTTCATTCATAACAAGTTGTTTATGGTTAACTAGAAAATCTTAGATCTAATATTAGATGATAAGAGATAATGATACGATTACAATATGAATATTACGCAGCACAGGGTATACAAAGAGTCTCCAACCCGTATTATTTAATTCTATTGTATCTTTAAATGATTTCAATCGAACGCACGGTGCCAATTAAACTTTTTCGATACGAACATCCGTGACCTCATCAATTTTACTGTTATTTTTATCGTTACGTTGATCAGAAAATACCAATATTTCACTTGAACGATTTATCTTTCAACACACATATAGAGAATTTCTTACCATCTGGCGAAAAAAGAAAAAATTTCCTAATACTTTTAATACTGCAGTGAAAAAATTTTGTTTAACGCTTAATTTCGTTCAGATTGTACATTGGCAATTATTGTCGTACTCTGTTCGGTATAGAAATCTATTTGACACCAAAGTATGTTATGAATTGCAGCAATTAATATTAGTAAAATACATAAAGACAAATAAAAGAAAGAAATAATTAATTTATGATTAATAATATTATTGTGAAATTAAATTTATTGTTTTTCCTTCTTATGGTAGGAGCTATTTCAATTTTTCCTTAAAATGAACACTTGTGCGCTATATATTTGATTTCATAACAATGTTTAAATGGAAATCTCTATAAATCAGTAGAGAATGTGCACGTCGTGTGTTTAAAAGGAAACTATAATTTGTTTAATGATAAGAATGAAACGAGCGCATGTGCATCATTGTTTCATTAGAAAATTGCGCAATCCTTTTCGACTATCATGATTTAATGATGTTATTTAATATTAAGCATATTTTAACGTTCTGTTCCAAAAAGTGAATTATACTTTTTACTGTATTATAAATTCTTAAAAAAAAAAAATTTGTTTGCGCTTATTTTAAGTAGAATTCTTCGAAATTAATTACGATTTCGTCGATAACAACATTTTTATTCGATTTTGCCGCTCTGATTTGGAATAATATAATAATAAAAACTCAAATTCATGAAAACAAGCGAATACATAAATTAACGCAGATAAATATACGGTGAAAATTATTTTTAAAAAATTTACATTAAAAAATTAATAATGAAAGCATAATTCAACAAAATAAATTTTAATTTATCATTTTTCTAATTCTTGTTCTAAAATTTTCTAAAACTTGTCCAACTGATATCAAAAGAGTTTTAGGTTAAATAAAATGTTTCTACTTCAAAATTAATAGAATGGATAAATTTTTTAACGAAGATTATCGATATACTTTACTTGCAAAACAATTTGCTTAGCCACACTTTAACCCGGAACTGGAAATTATTTTCAAATAATATATCATTTCTTGAAGATCGATCTTTAACTATTAATTATTATTTTCAATATCACCATGATAATTCATAAATTTTTCATGTTAAACGACTAGCGAAACTTTGTTACTTTATACGCACTAATATCAATTGCTAATTCTAAGAATGTGATTCCTTTAATGCGTATTCTATTTATCATCTTCCTACCATAAGAAAGATACTAGTTGAACAAAAAATCTATTTCGTTGAGTTTTATGACTAACACACGATTACTTAAAAACAAATATGATTTTTAACATGAATAATACCTCGCCTTGGAGAAAAAAATTGCTCGAACTGTATGACCAGAAGTAGGAAGAAAATTGCACGTAGATCGTTGAATCGAGTCATCTTCTTAAATTTCTCGTGAAATTAGTCGAATTTTGCTGTGCAGATATCACAATAGTTCCCTTGTGATTTCTACGGAAAATTTATCTCCGTGCTGTTGGCCAATTTGAAAAATACAAAAAGCGTTCAAAAGTCGAGACCGTTCACGAAAGATCGTTCCTCCGTTTTTATCGGTTATGCTCCGGCCGAGCGCTCAGCGTGCATTAAAGCGTTCAGTTTGCCGGTAGCTCCGTTTTCTCCTCTGCACCTTTCTATGTGCATCTCATTTCACGAATTGTCCTTTTCTAACCTACGGCGCATTTCCTTTTCAGTCTTACGTTCAATCTCTCTCTAGCATGCGCGCGCATAAATATTAGAACGATCTCAGCGATGGCACTGATCCGAAACTTGCTAGAAATTCTAATAAGTTACTTGAACATTTTCGTGGCTCATTTGCTTTCTTTATCCTAATAAATAATTATCTAAGTTGTTTTTCTTATGACAAATCATTTTGCTAATCGTAAATATAATTATTCCTTTACTATGTTTACTGACTTTAGTCATTAAACACGTGACATGGTGAAAGACTGAGTGTTAATTTATTGATGTATTAAATATTACATGTAATGTAATTTGTATGAAATCATCAATTAGGACAAAGGTACGATATATTATATTGATATTATAATATTAAATTGAAATGAAACATTGGTGAACCTATATATACAAGGTGTTCTGAAAATCGTGGTACAAAATTTATTTATATAGGGCTCCGTTTTCATGAAAATCGAATTTGAACATTCGTTAACTTTAGAATAAATTATTTCTTTAATGTTGCTCAGCTATTCTAAGGATAATAAAAATTGTCTTCAAGTAAAAGACAATATCATACCAGGCATTCGAGGAAGTGAAGAATTTGAACGCATTATCGTTGATTATGCTTCTTTAATTCAACGAGCAAGAATTTGTCCGCGACATCAAGGACATTTTCAGCAATTTTTCAATGAAAAAAGGTAAACACATTATTGAAACTTATTGCATTATTTTAAACTATACCAAATTCAGACTGACAGAAATATTACGGTGAATAGTCAGATTGGGTGAATCAGGCAGATTGCGGCTAGTCAAACACATGCGTACTTAACGGAATATTCAAATTCTATTTTTTCAGAAACAAAGCCCTGTACAAAAAAATTTTATTCTTTATTTTCGACTTACCATTATATGAAGAATCACCTTTTCTGTTGTAGCATGATTTCCGGAACAACCTGCCTATTATATTTTATTAAACTGTAATAAGTGCGTTTATTATAAACAAAATTTAATAAGAAAATATTTGACGCAAAGTAAAATGACATATATTTCAATATCGAAGTATAAATAAGCATAATGATCAATTTTCGTAGAAAAGATAGTTTTCTTGAATTTTATTAATCTTTGCTTTAAAAAAAAGAAAAAAACAAGTTTGTGTTTAAAAATGCATAGTCTGAAGAAACGTTAGTCCCATCACTACTGCGCAGTGCGTCTCTCTCTTTTTCAAAAGAAAATCCCCTCCAGGAGTTTCGAGAGCATGTTGATCATAGCGCTGGTGACTTCTTCCGCGACATGTGTTCCCTGCACGATGTCAGCATAAAGATCCTTTTTTTGTGGGTGTTCTGTGGACAGTAGACGCTTTGTTGACGTCGCGAATTTCGTACCACCCGCAGGAGGACCATTCGTATCCGCCTTTCATTCATTTTGGAATACCTTCAAATGTATCGATCAAAAATCGAGAATCAGATCAATAAAAGGAACACTTTCTCGCTCAATGAATTGAATAAAAATTGCTTGCATTTAAGGTTATGTGTTATTTTAATATTATATTTTTATCGTACTATTTATTGTTTTTACGTTTTTGTTTATTTATCAACATTTGAATTAGAAACCATACAGGGTGAACTATTTATCGAAACATAACCTATTTAATTGTACTTTTCGATAATATCAACTCAATTGAACATAAAAAATTACAGTTGTATAAAATATCTTTATTCGTTTCAAACACGTTCATAGTCTGCGTTGCCAACATTTCATCGGACATGCTTAATATGCACGCCTGCAAATGTGTACCGGGGAGATTCGTTGGACGTATATATGTATCTATGCACGCGTCCACACATTTGAAAGGTTAAAACACCGAATGCTTGACACAGAAAACGTTAACAAACCAGTGAACTTGATTTGTTCTCGTAGCAAATGTTTAAGGAGGGAAAAAAGAAAACAGTAAGTAGAATTCTGTCGAAAATCAGATCTTCTAATTAAAATACACAAAAAAAAAAGTCGGAAACATTACAACGAAGATTATTAAACTTTTTTTCGTCGACGAATTTCAATCAATTTCGAGGGCAAAAGGAAGTGAAGAAACGTCTAACAGGAGCAAACCATCCGAGTCCGAGAATCGTCATCGAGCTAATGAGATTTCGATGACCGTGACACGCGTAACTCTGTGACGATCGTGTAACACCCATGTCACAGTGTCTTGCATTGTGAAAAAATCAAATATTTCGCCATCCACATCAGCCGTCTGTATGCTTACGCATCGTCGTCAAATCTGTAGTACTTTTTTTTTGCGTCTTCCTCAATGGCAACATGTGGATGATGTAGGTACTTATGTTCTAAAAGAGAACCCAAAACAGACAAACGACGCGTAACGATGATATAATACCAGGAAGATAAGGGAGCATTTCTTTTAATTATTATTTGTAAACAGTCGATATCTCAGACATGTAGCTTTTAGTAGCAGAAAAATCGACTATACAAGGTGTCCAAACTGTAGGTCCACACATCGAAATATCTCCTTTTTTTTTTAATGATATGGGAAATGTTTAAAACACAATTTGAATGGTTTCGACGAACGAATACTTTTTTTATGGTCACTTCTTTCAATTCTTTTTCAAGGTCATCGATATTTTTATACGGAAAAGCATATATTTTCTTCTATTGCATCTCGTAGCGAGTTGTACAATATATACAAGCATGTCCGAGATATAACCTTGAGGTGACCTTGAACACCAAAAGAATGGTCAAATTCCAAGACAGTAACTCAATATATTCAACGTTTACCGACATCAACCTACCACTCCGAAAGACATCATAAATTGAATAATTACAGCTTGTTTTGCTACTACTCCAGAAATAATTGAAAGAGCATCGCAATCTATGATTACTCGTTTTAGACAATGTATCGCCGCCGATGGACATCACTTGGATCATGTATTAACATAAACAGTAGAATGTATGTATTAACATAAACTGTCTTAGAATTTGATCATCTTATTGATGTTCAAGGTCACTTCAAAGTGATAACTTCGATATATTTGAATACATTTTAACACTCGGCACAAGATGCAATAGAAAAAATATATGTGCTTTCTTGCAAAAAATACCGATGACCTTGAAAAAATTTTAAAAAAATTTTTCTTTCCGGAGCATCCCTTCCTTGAAACCGTTCCAACTGTACTTTAACGGATTTGTTAATTACATATCTGAGCAGGCTCGTGAAGGAAACATTTAATCCTGTGCATTCAAAAATCCCACAGGGCGAATTTTCATATGTTCTTTTGGATTTCTAGGAGCAGGCAAGTTTAATGTTTAATTTACAACTTTTCTCATAAAGTGTCGCAGGACTGTTTAAGGTGCCGAATATCACAGTTTTCTTTTCTACGCGACTTGCACGAGGTAAGCTGCCGATCATGCGTCGCTTGCTTTGAGAATCACTGTATCCCCCCTTCGCCCGTCTTGACGTGCCCTATATTCGCTGATGTATGGAGGTTTGCTCAGCTACAGGGATACCTTTAATTGTTAATAACTAAAAAACGAAGCCTCGAAAGCAATTTTTTTATTCCTGATTTTCATCTTATTTTGGCTTCTAGAATTACCCCTGAAAATTTCTTGCAGGAGTGGTCGAACATCCTGTATATACATAGTAATGAAACTTGATGAAAATGTTTAACAAAAACAAAACATTCAATTATAAATTTAAAAACTGCATACTTATTAATCATGTTCTTCGGTACAAGAAATTTTCGCCTAAAATTATTTTAAACAAAACACGTGTGTTCACATTGATAAATGTCAT